GTACGTACCTTGTAGTTATACACATCTAGATGTGTATAAGAGACAGGTGTGTGTGTGAGAGTGAGAGAGAGAGAGAGAGAGAAAAAGAGAAAGAGAGGAGGAGAGAGAGAGAGAGAGAGAGAGAGAGAGAGAGAGAGAGAGAGAAAAAAAAAAAAAAAAACATAACAGTTACAAGGCACTCCTCGAATACAAGGTACGTACCTTGTAGTATTCGAGGGTAACTTCTATTCGAAAATTTAACAGTGATTTCTTAGAACCAGTTTTTTGGAGGTAACTTAAATACAAGATACGTACCTTGTTTCCGGGTTACGACGGTAGTTGGTACAGCCATGAACAAAACGCATGAGTTACCTAGGGTCAGTCTGTTTAACGATGATATTTCATAACTGTTGCCCCACCTCTACCTTTGAGCCCTTTTTCCCATGGCAGGTTTTTGTTGCACGCCAAGTCTGAAATGAACAGGTGCGGTATTTTTTTCCTTTTTTCTTTTTGATCGGTGTCACCCACCAGAAAGGTTCGGGACGCAATGGAGAGGGGGGACCGCTGGACGCTTCCACAGGGGCCAAAAGCGCTCGGACCAAGCGTCAGCCACTGGTAACGGGCAGCCTAGTTGATTGTCGCACTACCACCAAGATACAAGGTCAATGCGAAGGGATAAATTTTGACTGAATCAAGCAAAAATATGATAAATGAGGGAAGCTGGGAACTCATAATAATCTCATAAAGTACAAATGAATTGACATGGTCAATACTTGTCAAGAATCCTCATTCTTTCTCTCAAGTTTCGTCCCCAATTTCTCATGTGATTGTGCGTCTCTTGTGCTGTGAGTCACGCCTATGTACTTCCTGAGATTGTGGCCTAGAGTTGTAGAGTTACCTAAAGCCTAGAAGTTCTGAATAGGTCCATCCAAGACCAAAGATTATGAAGTCAAACACAACACAAAAGTTCTCCCACAGAGTAGGAAGATATGACTTAGAAAAGATCCCTCGTCCGAGACGTCGAAACTCTAATGCTTCAATCAATCTATGCAGGGGAGATATACCTCTTGGTCAAATGAACGAAATCACCCTTGTAAGAGTCATTTGTGAGGAGAAAAAGGGACTCAAGGTCGGGGAAAATTGGCGTAGAGCTTCAGTCCAAAGATACAGATCCACTTCGTGCCACTCACATCAAACTCTCGCTCTCTGTCCTCAAGATATTTTACCACTGAGATCCATACTAAATCAAAAATGTTCATGAGTTTCATTACCTTTTTTCTAAGGTCATGAATGGTAACTTCAACAAACCCAGTGAGGACAACGAAGATTGACAGGTATTCTTGTCTGAAACTGACCGTACTGACATAGCGGTGTCGGAGCAGAAACCCTTACAAGGGTATCTATTCAGGTTTTTCAATATCGGACGTTGTCCGACTTTTTTGTTAAATTGAGGAACTTGATGAGACTGATGTCTGCTAGAAGTTTATTCAGCCTAGCCTATGACTGGGAAACTATAACTTTTTTTAACCTTAGTCCGGACATATGCGGCGTCCCGAAATAATGGCGATAGTCCCCAGTTTCTAGCAGGGTCGCAGAGAGGAACGAACATGGAAATGCTAAGACTAGACCTATTCTATATAAAATAATGATGCGCGACTGTTAAGCTGCGTGATTCAAGGCTAGAAAGACCGAAAAATTAGCCGCCGGGGTGCGGTGACGGATAGAAGGGCGAACACGGCCAAAGTGCCATGTCATTCTAAAAGGATGGACGGTCAGGGGTCCGAGGGCAAATCCATGACCAAAGGAGTGGATTGTCGGACCTACTGGACCAAGCCCAGTCGGGTGGATGGCGGGGCAACTGCCTTTGGAAGGGATAGGCGGATTACACCTGCCTATACCAAGGAGTAGGCGGACTGCACCTTCCTAGACCAGGGCGTAGGCGGCCTACTGGGTTGGAACTCTTCAAATAGAAGGGTGGCAGGTACAGCTCCCGTGATAGGAGCTAGCCCAATAGGTACCGCATTCAACTTTCACCCAGCAGATGTTGGGATCGAGCCTGGCGATACGCTGCATGGGCTAGCTTCTTTTTGAAGTTGCTCACCAGCTAGGCGCGACCATTTTCGGCTGCAAGATCTTAAGATCTCACGACAAAAAACGGTCGCGCGGATATAGCATCGTCATTGCGCGAAGGATGACATGCATAAAATCGAGAAATGATCCACATTTTTCGATTCCTCGTTGGGATCGAACTTGGGTCCGCTCATCGCAAATGGGAGGGGAGGCGCCAACAAGGCACAGCACGAGCAAACATAGCCATTGGCCTATGCCAACAGCACTTAAAAAAAAAAAAAAAAAAAAAAAAAAACCGAATGAATTTTTGGCCCAAACACGGGTATATGCGTCGTCAGCCAGGGCAGTGGCTGCGCCCGTTGGAACGGGCATGACGGTGCCAGACTGTGTCGTCGAACCTTCACCGACTCATGAGGAGGTTGCACCCCGACAGTCTACATCAGTGTGTGTGTGTGTGTGGCATGTGTGTGGCACAT